TTTTTTTGTGTTATTTGCATTTTCTTAAACTCTCATTATTTAATTACTGAATTTCTCTTTTAATTATTGAAATCTGTAGACCTTTCATTGTAACTGAATAGTTATATATTTTGAGATGAAATTTGAGCTCAAAATAAAATGGGTATTTTCCCTTTTGAATTACTGAAACTAAATAGATATTTCTTTTTAGAAAGTTAACACCATTATATTTTAAAAAATAAGAAAGTTAAAATTTACTTTGTAAAATTCTGGAACAGATACTATTCATTGGCATAAATGATAAATGCAATATATATGAAAACAACAGAGTCCATAAAACAATTTTGTGGACTCTTATAATCAATCATATGCAGGTTTTTTAAAATCCTAGCAATAGTGAATGTATGTATAATTGTAGTACTCCTAGTATGCTATTAATGGTTTTATGGATCCTGAAAATTATCTTTATATTGTTATCAAACTGATTAATAATCATTTTAGCTGAGATAAACTGAGTGAAAAAAATAATTTTAGCTGAGACAAACTGAGCCAAAAAGAGATTTTAACTGAGACGAAATGCAATTTCTGGTGAGACAATTTGATATTTTGCGAGTAGCATCCCTGCCCTTTAGAAACGATAAATCTATATTTTTACCATGTTTTTGTGTTGATTTTTTAATATAATTTTTGATTTTTCACAAATTATGTTTAAATTTTCACAAAATAGGTACCTCTCAGAAAAACCTAGACAGACCCTTGTTTATACTTATTTGAATTGAAGTTAAAATTTATTCTCCTTTTTTAATATATATATGTTTGTATTAAGTGCATTCTTCAGTGAAAGCAGTTATTAACAAAATAACTAATGATTTAAGAAGAGTTGAGTATAGTATTTAAATAAAAATTAGTGATGAAAGAAAATATTTAATTAGTGTGTTTATTTTTGTAGTGAGTTGGCTGCCAAAGTAATGATTGAATTGCTTGGAACTTACACTGAAGACAATGCTTCTCAAGCTAGAGATGATGCTCATAAGTAAGCTATGTATATTCTTAAGTTTGTAGTGGTATGATAAAAATTCTCTTGGTTTTTGTACATTTATGAAAATTCCATTAATTGAGTAAGTTTATTTAAAAAAAATCTCTATTGGAATAGAATTTATTGCTTGCTTGAATATTTAAACATAATTGCTTGCTTGAATATTTAACTAATTTATTTTTTAAATTACTTGTTTATTACTATTAAAAATGAATTAGCATTTCTAGTTCATTTAATGTTCATCATAAACGGAAAATATTGCAGACCATTCATATAGTTGAGTGATAAAGTTTTTGTATTCTGATGACAATAAAATTCCCTACATGTAAAATATTTAGTATAACAACAGTTATCATGAGATTTATATTATTTCCTACAATCTACTGGATTTTTTTCCTATCCTCTATTGGCAGCTATGAATAGTTATAACACTATTTAAGTTGATTGTGAGTTAGGTATTATTTTAGATTTATATTTAGTTCTTAGACATGGTGTGTAGCATTTTTAAAAAGTGCTTATTTTCGATTTTAGTTTTTTAGAAGCCCTTAAAGGTGCTTTTTTTCATTGGTTATTTTTAAAAAGTGCTTAATTTTCCCTTTTCGAAAATTAGATTTTTCCTTTGCATTGTCTATTTTTTCCTTGTATTATACAAAAACCTGGTTTTCACATTGTTCAATTCAACTTTTTCACTATCCATTCAAACACAATGCATTTTGGTGTGTCGTCGGACAGTAGCGTATGAAAGTGCCAATCATATTACATGTTTGATGAACTACTTGTGATTCCGCATGTGTGTATACTGAGCTGAGTGCAGAGAGATTGTTGCACTCTCATGTGCAACTCTGCTACATTTTTCAAGATAATCTCAATTTCAGGCTTCATTCCCCCCCCCCCTCTAATATCGAACCAAAAAATCTCTCGGTCTTTTTCTGGTGGCTAATGCAATTGAAGTAAGCCAGGATAGCTCCTTTGTAATACTAATATTTTATTGAACATATTTACATTATATACAAGTTGGTTTGAATTACAAGAAACATCATCACAGCAGGTGATGGGAGAAATACTGGGAGGCTGCCATATTCGTGCTGGTATTTATATAATTCTAAGAATATGATGACGTCAGAACTCTTAATTCAGTTCACTTCAAAAAAAGTAAAAACACGATTGATTAGAGATAAACAGATAATGAAATGAAATAAACTTGCTTTTACGATGAGCGGCGAACCCATCACCACACAATCAAGAAAAGAGGTTTTTTTTTTTTTTCAGTAACTAGTTATTTTATCCAGATCATGTAGTCTTTGAAAATTATTTTGCATTTTGTTAAAGTATATAGTGCTTAAAAATATTTTTTGAGAGCTTAAAAGGTGCTTATTCTTTGTTGAAAGATTTGGCTATCAACCCTGTAAAAGCAACCTTATATGAGATTCATGATGTCATCAATTTTTACAATTTAAAAATGACATTTTTATTGTAGTGCTGTGTTGCACAACCTGTGACCCACAAATGGTCAATGTGAAAAAATACTTAATTTCTCTACATAAATTAAAAAGCGTTGTCTCATATTGTAGTTGGACCTTTTTTGTAGACTTTTAGGGAATTAAAAAAAAGCATATCACACAACCAATCGGGCACTTGCATGTAACCGACCATTAAATTCAATCAACAGCGTTTTTGATATTTTATGCTGCAGTTTGTGACTACATCTCAACTTTACTCAATTCTTTTCCATTCTTTGTTTACTTGCGATACTCAGATACCTTCTTCATTTTTAATTATTAATTTAATTTTTTGTTCAAGTTATTTGTTTCTTTTATCATCTTAGTTATTATTTTTTGTTTTGTTATCAATAAGGAAAATTAATAACTCTCAAAAATAAAAAGTGTCGCTGGACTGCCATTGCCTATTTGTGTCTCAAAGGTGCAATTGTCATGATAGTTAGAAATGTATGCATAACAGATGGTTTGTGTAATGGCACAAGACTAATTGCGAAAAGAAAAAATTACTAAATCGGTTCTATTTTGTACCATCATGACAAACAATAAAGCTGTGAATACGGCACAAGGATAACATTAAACACTAATTATATCTTATGCACTTTGATTGTATCTTATGACAAATTTTGTATTTTCTGAGTTTGAAAATTGAAAAGTAGTTAGTTTAATTTAGGGATGCACAACTTTTTTGAGTGAAGGGCCACTTGCACAGCAGGTTGACTAATAAAGGGCTGCACACATATTTAGTCTTGTTGGTGGCAAATAAGATTATAAACTTAGTAACATATTTTCCAAAAATTAAATATTGTAATATTTTTCATTATTAAAATTCGTTCAATAAAAAAAAAAAAAAAAATTTTTTTTTTTAACCTTTTTATTAATAATTGATGTGTATATATATATATATAAGGAAAAGAGATACTATAAACTTGAACAAAAAAAAAAAACTGCATGCATATTTATTTTATTGAGTAATATAAATTTGAACTAAATATTTTAATTAAAGAAAATTTATAGGGTTTTAGCAAAAACCAAAAATTAAAACTGAACTATCATAGTACATATTAAGATTCAATATTTTGTGAAAAGAAATTCAAAAGATTAATTTTTTTTTTTTTTCGAAAAAAAAAGTTCTATATGTTGTGTTTCGAAGCTCTCGCTGGCCGCACATCAACAGTTGGTGGGCCGCATGTGGCCCGAAGGCCGCAGATTGTGCACCTCTAGTTTAATTAGTTTGTAATTTATTAAATTATTCAAAATTGTTAATTCATGAGATAAGTTAAAGAGCCTTTGTTTCAATATAGGTGTATTGTGACCTCCCTTGGTGATCCCAATACATTTTTAATGGACCACCTACTGGCCCTGAAACCTGTGCGTTTCCTGGAAGGTGAATTAATTCATGATTTGCTCACCATATTTGTGTCAGAAAAACTTTCATCCTACCTGACTTTTTATTCTGTCAACAAAGATTTTGTGAACTCTTTAGGTAAGAATTTTCTTTGTTCAAATTGATTAATGGAAATTATGACATGGTTTTTTTTGTCATCTTAATACAATTACAAAAACAATAATAAATGCCTTTTTCTATGTGGATTGTAATTTATGTTGTTATAATGTTTATAATATTATTTCCTACAGTGAAAATGCTTTAAGGGGATTTTAAGCAGAGTTTGCTGAATTAATTCAGGATTTAAAGTGACTTGCTTGTTTTTAAGATCCAAATGAAATGTTTTCTTTTTTTTGTAAAATATGATTTAAAAATTTATATATTATTATAAAATTAGATATTTTAAGTTTTCTGTTTGTTTCCATAGTTATAAAGTTATTTTAACTAATTAAGTTGAGTTATTCTCTCTAAAAATATTTGTAAACCCTAATACAATACAAGTAAGATTTAAAGAAACATTATTTGTTTCCGCATATAAAATTTTTAAAAATAATGAAATAGTGTACAGATTTAGATTATTTGAAATTTATTATTTGAAGGCAATGATTTACTATCATAATATTTATAAAATTCGACTAGTTATAGCAGGGTGTGTAGTGTTTTTAAAAAGTGCTTAAACATGCTTATTTTTGATTTTTGTTTTTTAAAAGTCCTTTAAGTTACTTTTTAGGATGGGTGTTTTTAAAGAGTGCTTAGTTTAATTTGCTTGAATTCTTTTAAATTTTCATGATATTCATATCGAACTTTTTCCATTAGTTACTAAAACAATCAACAAAGTTAAGAGAATTTTTGTAAGCATTTTTCCTGCTCAATTGCAGTATAAAAGCACAACTTCAAATGCTCGATTTTTAACAAACTTTTAAAATGATAATTTTGTTATTAATTAAAAATTGCTTACATTTTTTTAGAGTTATGGCAAAAAAATGTAAAACAACTAAATTAGTTTTTGTTTTTATAAAAAAGACCATATCTCCATTAATATTTAAGCTAGGTTTACGAAATTTTATGCAATTATTGCATAAACTAATTTAAGTGTGTGTGACAAGTTACAAGTGTTATGCTATATTTTCTGACTTTGGTTGTCTGAAAAGCACTTTTTTCTTTTGCTTGTAATTTATTGCCAGTTCACCAAATCTCTGAAAATTTTTAACTTCTTATAACCTAAACACCTTTAAAGTTATTAAATAATTCTATCAGTGTTTCTTAAGAAATTTTTAAAAAAAATGTCAAAAACTTAGTGTCTTATCAATTTTTATGGGGTAATGTATATATAAAAAAAACTTAAAACAATAGGAAAAAAGTACTTAGAAATATTTTTTCAGTGCTAAAAGGTGCTTATTTTTTTTGTTAAAAAATTTGGCTACGCGCCCTGTATATGAAAGACCATATTGAGACCATAAAAGATACATTTTCAAAGTATCATTTTAAAAAAATTCTGATTTTAAGTGTGTTGATTATGTTCCCCCTTCACTTGTGATTGTAATGAATATTATATTGCTGATAACTATTATATGACTCGGACGGCTTGAGGCAATTTTAAACCTCACAAAGGTCTCCCTGTTTTATTCAAATGTTCTTAATAGTTAAATTTTTTTATATACTTTCATAGCTACCAACTCTTGGATTTTTCCAGTTTCTCTTTGTCTACTGGTTTAACTAAAATTCTCTTGGTTTTTGTACATTTTAGAAAACTCCCAAAAATTGTTTCCTAAAAAAATTCCTATTGAAATAGAATTTTTGTTCAGATTATTGTTTGCTTGCTTGAATATTTAATTAAGTATTACTAATACATAATGAAGCGAACCTCATCAATCAGTTCAAAACTTTATTACTCTAAAATGTTCAATTTATTTTTATTCATCTTTTAACTATCTCTGATGAATTAAATGCCTTTTAATATTCAAAATTATGAATATGCATAATACATAACATTTGAAGCTTGCTTAATGTCAATTATAATTGGGTTGCGATTTGGATAATATTACGATTTTTCTAGTTTAATGCCTATGTGTAAAATATTTAGTACATTCTGCAACAATTATCATGAAATTTATATTATTTCGTAAAATTAATTGAATTTTTTTCCTATCCTTGTTGGCAGCTATGAAGTTTAAAATGTAGAAGGTGTAAAAAATGAAATTTTTACAGTTCCAGTGAAAAATGGGGGAATTTTTTTTTTTTTGTCTAACCATAAATAAACAAAGTTTTCCATAAGAACAAAAGAAGGCAGGTGCTGACTCTCAGAAAAAGGCACTTTGAGTTTTGAAATGGCACTCACCAGCACCTTAAATGCAATAACTTATAATGTTTTACTTAACTTATAGTGTGATTAACTTATTATGTAGTAACTTAATTTGAATCTCAAAAATTTTTTTAATTATCCTCTTAAACCATTATATGTGTATATTTCGAAAAATAGTTATGTTTCATTATTAAAACGAGAGGAAAATTTGTAGTTTATAAAAATAAAGACAATCTCTGTGCAAAGTTTTTCAATAAAAAGCATAAACTGAAAAAAAAAATAATAATAATGATTAACAACCTGAAAGCCTTTTTCTATAATTTGAACTGAAAATTATGAAAAAATGAACATTTGCAGGGCTTTTTTTTTTAAAAAAAAAAAAATTACTTACACCCCTCCCCGAAAAAAGAGATATTTATAAAAATTTTCACATGTAGATAATAATCTGAACAAAGTAAATATTTGTAATAGTAATCAGGATTTAACCTAAAAGCACATTTAATTTTACCAGTGTGTAATTATTATTTTATCAGAGAATTAATTTTTAAGTAACTGAAAAAACATAGTTTTTTAAAAAATTTTATTCAGAATTGTTTCTACTCCAAAAACCTGCAAAATTCTTCTTTTTTTTCTTTTTTTTTTTAAACTAGATTTACATATAACGTAATTAACAATTCTAAAATTGCAAAAATTTGATGTGTTAATTTGGGATCCATCCACAAATTATACCAAATTATCAAAGAAGTACATTATATTTTCTAATCAATTCATTACAAAATTTTTAGTATTCTTGAATGAAGTATTAAAAAAAATTTTATATCATGAAATTTTATAAAGAAGAATTGGGGATCGTATACTTATTTATTTATTTATTTTTTTTCAGTTGACAAAATCAAGTCTTTGTATTGAAAACCAGTTAAAAAGTTGGATTTGAAATTAATAAAACACTTGGGTTGAAAATATTAAATATTTGGTTTAAATATTTTTTTTATCAAATTATACTTTTTTAAACAGAATATTAAATCTTCAGGTTCTTGTAGTAAAAAAAGATTGCAATTGAGAGTAAAAAAAAGAATTTATTTTTTTAATTGACTAGCAGAAGAGTCATATAATTTTTAAAAAAGAGTAAGCTACTGAATATACAGTATTCTGTCATTGTCTCGAACTTCGATATCTCTAAAACCTTGTTATTTCAGAAAAATATTTCCTTCTTTGGCATTATATATTTACCTAATGTTAGTATAAATTTCAGTGTCAAAGAGCTTCTTCTCAAAATCTTGTTATTTGAACCTTAAATTTTTTTTCGAATTAGAAATTAAATTTTATCCAAAAAATCACAGTGTGAGTTTATTGTAAACCGATTCTTTTCTATTTAATGCATAATTATTTTTCTCATACTTTTAAAAATAAAATACTTGTATTTTGACTTATAGTCGACTATCATTACATACATATTAAATAATAGTTATTCTTATTTTTAATGAATCTACTTTCTAGAGTAATATTTTAGAATTTATTTTTCTACTTTTTAGAACACATTTAGTTCTGAACTTGTTATCTCGATGTCTCGAAATTTTTTAGCGTCCCTTCAAATTTGAGATATCCAGAGTATACTGTATTTGNTTTTTTTTTTTTTTTTTTTTTTTTTTTTTTTTTTTTTTTTTTTTTTTTTTTTTTTTTTGCTTATATTTTATATCTTGCTTATATAATTTCATTTTTATTTGCTTATATTTATAATATCCTCCAGAGGTGATTGTGCTCCCGAAAAAATACGGATTACCGGATTTTTCCCTTACTGTGCTCTGGAAATCTTAGGTCCAGACGTTTTAAGAAATCATCGATCACATTTATGCATAAAAATTCTTGAATATTTTATTTAAAAATATTAGAACTAGGCCATGGCACAGAATAGATCAAGATGGCAAAAACTTATTGGGACGGTCTTGGCCTGTCACAGTCTGTAGTGCCCAAGAAGAAGAATTAGAATTTATACTTGGCATCTTTCATTTGTAAATATTTTTTCTGGTAGAATAATAAATGTGATGAGAGATAAAAATAAACTTATACATAATCATTTATTTAAATTATGCCGTATATAATTTATTTAAAATTCAATGTTTTGAAAATATCAATGATTTAAATTTATAAAGACATTATGTGTCTTTAATGATTTTACTCAAGAAATTTTCCGGATTTTTGCTTACTCACCCCTGATCCTACTCCCCCCCCCCCAAAAAAAAAAGAGATACTCTTATATAATCCTAACAAAGTAAATATTTGTAATAGTAATCAGAATTAAACCTATAAGCACAGATAATTTTACCAGTGTGTAATTATTATTTAAACAGTGAATAAATCTTTTATAAAATGGAACCTGAACCAAACGGCAGTGTTAAGGGAAAATTTTGCAAAGAGGGCAGATTTATTGGGATCAAAGGGCAAGCAGGGCAGACTGCTCTTAGGGACAACACTGATAAATTTTTAATCCATGTAGTTCATAGATTCAAAGAAGATAAAAATGAAGTAGCTTGCCAATTTGAAGTTTGGAGGCGACTGTAGCAACTTTTTTTTATTTATATGAAAACACTAAAAAAGCAACTATTTTCAGGAAAAGGGGACTTTTCATTTTTTAGCATTAATTGGGTTGCATAATAACCTATGGCCTGTGGGAGCTGCTGAATAAGAGAAAACAAATTCTTTTACTATCATTTATGTCTAAAATGCGAAAAATTTAATTTTCCATCATATTTAATCAAAAGTATTTTATTTCCCCCCCTCTGATTTCTAATTGTTTTTTCCTTCTATCAACATAAGCTTTCATTTTTTGCTGTTTTCAACTTTTATCTAGGTAGACATTTTCTGTAGTATAAATTTTTTTTCTCATTTGTATAAAACTTTTTTTTATATAGATCATGGTATTTGACAATTAAGTCATTCAATGAAATTTTAGTCGTATTTTTGATAAATTTTTGTCCTTAGTTAGGCAACTATTTTCATGCCGCTAAAAGCAACTATTTTGTTTATTTTTTTCTGTGGCAACACTGTCAATTGCAAAATAAATAAATGACAATACCTCATACTCTCAATTCATGAAAACTCAAACATTATTAAGTGTCCAAAATCTATTAAAGCAATTTATTTTTTTTTATCTGAGATTCTTCGATACTTTTATAAAATAATCATGTATTATTAAATTGTATCATGTATTAGATAAAAAGCTGAATTATATTTTTATTTGTAGTTTTACGTACAAAATTAGTCCGGGCAAAGATGGATGAACTTCAGCAGCGTGTTCTCGTCAGCTCTACAATGCACAGAACTTTTGGCAAACCCCAGTGGCAACAGTTGAGGGAGATTTTAATCCGATGGCAGAATGACCTCAGTTTAGTTCAGTCTCAGATGCATACAGTTGTGAGAGCTGCTTATGACAACTCAACCAATGTACAAGCTTAGAAATTTATAAATAAATATTCTCTCTCTTATGTCTTTTCATTTTATATGTTAAGACATGGTACTTAGCGTTTTTAAAAAGTGCTTAAATGCGCTTATTTTCGATTTACGTTTTTTAAAAACCCTTAAAGGTGCTTTTTTCATTGGGTGTTTTTAAGAAGTGCTTAATTTTCCATTTTCGAAAATATATTTTTTCTTTACCATGTCAATTTTCGTCACGTATTACGCAAAAGCGTGCTTTTCTCATTGTTCTGTTCAACATTATCATTCAACCAAAAGCTGCTTACCACGGGCTACAGTAGGCCCATAGCATATGATAGCGCCAATCATTTTACATGTTTGATGAAATACTTGCTAGTCTGTGTGTGTGTGTACTGAGCTGGGATCGGTGAGATTATTGCACTCTCGTGTGCAACTCTTCTCAGGGGTCTGTCTAGGCCAAATTTACTACCGTTTAACTCTACCTTCACAAATTGAACTTTAGGAAAAACGGTAGTTTAAAAAAAAAAATTTCTTAAAATTTTATTTTTTTATCTCATAAGAATTTCTATTAGAATCCATATTTTTGAGTTTATTTTTTAATTTTCACAAAATAGGTAACCTCTCAGAAAAACCTTGACATTACCCTGCTACTGCATTTTGCAAGATATTCTCAATTTCAGGCTTCATTTTCCACCCTCTGAAATCAAACTGAAAAATCTCTCAATCTTTTTATGGTAGCTAATATAATCAAGAACAGACTTCAAGAAGGAAATATCAATAACTAATTATTTTATCATGATCATGTGAAGAGTCATGATTATCATGATCGTGAAAATTATTTTGCCTTTTATTAATGTATATAGTAGTGCTTAAATTTTTTTTTTTTTGAGTGCTTAAAAGGTGCTTATTTTTTGTTGAAACATTCGGCTATGCACCCTGTTTTTTTCTTTACCATGTCTATTTTTGCCACATATTATGTAAAAGCGTGCTTTTTACATTGTTTTATTCAACATTTTCACAGTTCATTCAACCACAAAAAAGTACTTAAAAGGTGCTTATTTTTTGTTGAAAGTTTTGGCTACATTGCCTGTAAAAGTATGTTGAGATATTCAAGCTTCCTCAAAAGTGATTCCTCTGTCTTAGAATTTGAATTTTGTGATTTTTCAATAATATGTATAGTTTGTCTATGTTAAGAACTCTCCCCACCACAAAGTCTGAAGCCGCCTGATGCTATGGAAACAAGAATAGCTCATTTCAGGGAGGGTAGCTTCTCTTCACTCTAGGTCCCACACAACAGACCGAAGAAAAGGTTCCCTTCGACCTCAGCTAACACCTGTCTTAAACAATTACCCCACACCCCTACTTGAAATAGTTATACCATAGTCACCCCCTCTCCAGACGAATGGCTAGGGGAGTTCCTACTTTAGACAAACTATATTTTAGTGTGAGTTAGTCATTATTTTAGATAGAATGGCAAGTGTGGGTGAGATCAGTCGTGGGAACTGAAATCAGGCCTGAGAAAAAAATTCAGGAGACTAACTTTCACCAATTGATATCTCTTTTTCACTTGTTTTTTAAATTAAAATGTCCTTTTCTTCCTGAATAAATTATGAAATATTTTCAGTTAAAAAATAAAATATTACATTTTAATAAAGACATTGTTTTTCTTCATAATTATTGCGAAATGATCAAGTAATGATGTCCCACTGATTTGAAAAAAAAATGGGATTGATTCTTCTATTACACAAGTATTCAAAAACATTATAAAGTTACGCAAAAAATTAAGGCGATGCTTCAGTGCTTGCTTGCTTACACAAAATTCGTTCTATTGCTGTGTCTATATTTGCTTCAGTTTTGGTTTTACCCCCAATGTTTGGAAATGCTAATCAAAATAAAATTGAGTTTTTTTTTTTTTTTTTTAAGAAAAAGAAATTTTTTTTAAAAAAAGATAAGACAAAAAGTAAATAAAGATACATAGCATTTTTAAAAAGTGCTTATTTTGGATTTAAAATTTTTAAAAGCCCTTAAAGGTGATTTTTTTATTCGGAGTTTGTAAAAAGTGCTTAATATTCGATATTATAGAAAGAGATTGTTTTCTTTGCCCTGTCGATTGTCGTCAGAAATTACAAAAAAAGCAAGATTTTCACAATTTTCCCAAAAATATTAATCAGAAATTAGTTATTTTATCATGATTATGTCAAGTTTTTGCATTTTGTTTATTTTATGTTTATAAATGAAGAACTTTAAACAATAAAAAAATAATTTTTATTACTGCACATATCAATTTCTATTGGAAAGTGCTTAAAAATATTTTTTGAGTGCTTAAAAGGTGCTTATTTTTTGTTTAAAAATCTAGCTACGCACCCTGGAATAGCTTCATGAAAAAATGTGGGGTTTATTATTCAGTGCTTGGTGTAAAAAGACGTATAGAGTTAGCTGTTTTTATCTCCATTGCTGTAAAAAATAAATAAAAAAAATTTTTAGAATAATAATCAACAGTGCCATTATTGTGGAAAGGTACATTTTCGAGCTCAGTGTGCTATAAATTTCTAAAAATTCTGGTAAATAACGTTAGATTGTGTTAATTGGTTTAAAAAATTTATTCAGTCTTGAAGTTTTTTTAGTGTGGCACTCATGCATGTGTCCTTCCATGTGTTGTTTTGAAGGTGGTGTTGTATATATATATCCATCCATTCCCCACCAATCATGAGATAATTCTGCAGTCACTGTTTCAATCCTTTTGATGTGCAGAGATGATTGAGATCCGGAAATCCAAGAACCAGAAGTTTCAATAAAATCATCGATCACATTTATGTATGGAAATTCTTGTATATTTTATTCAAAAATATTAGAACTATAATTTATGCTCGGCATCTCTTTCATTCGTAAATATTTCTTCTGGTAGAATAGTAAATGTGATTAGAGATAAAAATAAACTTATACATAATTATTTATTTAAATTATGTTGCATGTAATTTATTTAGAATTTCATGTTTTGAAAATATCAATGATTTAAATTTATAAAGGCATAAATTTTTTGAAATGCGTTATTAATTATATTACTCGAGAAAGTTGAGTTGAAAGATTTTGAGTTGGGCTCACAATCACCCCTGAATGTGCCGTATCTCCCCAGGTTCGCTATCAATTTTCTAAATCATTCTATTTATTGGGTGTATTTTTGTACTTTTAGAATGTTTCATTATATTCATATATGCATTGATATTTCACATGTTCCCTGTAGACTTATTATTATAACACATTGTAAAAGGGTTAAAACCTTGCTATTAAATCCCATCAATCAAAGTAAAATAGCAAAAAGGGGATATAAAGTTTGTCACATTTTATTTGAACAGCAGACAAGTAGATACATTTGTTCTTGTAAACAACATTAAATTTCTTTTTTTTTTCTTCGCAGTAAAATTTTAATAACAAACATGCTGCTCTTTTGATAACCTCTGTCAAAATTAAAAAGTTTACTTTCACCTTATTTTTTGCTTGAGGAAGGGTGCAGCAATTTGAAACGCTTACAAGTTTTTATTTATTTATTTGCTTGCATAAATCAGATACTTAAAACTATTTCTGCAATAATTTTGTTTATACCTTTTCTGTTTTGTATATATCTTTTTTGCCATTTAAATGACAGAATTGTAATTTATCGATTAATTAGAGCAACATAGTTATTGATGCATTCACAAATTATGTTGTGCACGCGCAGCATTCAATGCCATGATCTGCTCTAAACAGTAACATGGCCAATGACAATTGTAAATTATCAATTAATTATCGATAATTAGAGCAACATAATTATTCATGCATTCACAAATTATGTTGTCCACTCTCAGCATTCAATGCCATGATCTGCTCTAAACAGTAACATGGCAAATGACAGAATTGTAAATTATCGATAATTAGAGCAACATTGATGCATTCACAAATAATGTTGTCCACTCTCAGCATTCAATGGCATAATCTGCTCTAAACAGTAACATGACAGAAAGATATAATTAAAGCAAGAGTGTCAAATTTATACAGCAACTGCTGTCAGTGGCGGATCCAACGGGGGGGGGGCTCATGACCCCCCCCCAAATTGAAAAAGTAATAATAATAATTTTTTTAATAGTTTACAAAAGAAATAAAATATTTTAAAAATTATTTAAGGGAGCATATACACCTAGGTAGGTCGGAAAACTCGATTTTTTTTTCCTCCATCTAATTCTGTTCTTCACTTTCAAGAGTCCCTGGACTCCCCACTCCATTCCTGGACTTAAAAAGGGCCACAACCGCTTTGACTGATACTATTACTATTTTCGAGGATGAAACAAAAAAGGGCCGATACTGTTTTTCAACAAATGTTTTCTGAAGCTCGAGATGTTGCTGAACAATTAAATGTAGAGCTGTGACCAAAACGTTTAGTTTCTCGACAAACACAAAGAAATAATAATCAGCCAAACCAGACCCCCAGAAGAATATTTTCGGAAGGCTATTTATATTCCTTTATTAGATAATATTTTAACAGATTTAAAGGACAGACTTCCCCAGATGTGATGAAACTTTCGAATCTACGAGTTTTTTTACCTCGTCAAACTGTTACAGAAGAAGATCTTATAGCCGTTCGTGAAACTGCCGAGTTTTATAAGAATCTCTTAAATGCTTCTGTAAAAGTTGTCGAAACAGAATTTCGTCACAAAATGGCAGCGTGAACGATCTTTCCAAGATTATTAATGCCTGTGACATCGATTTGTACCCATCAATCAATATGTTGTTGAGAATTTGAATAACTCTGCCAGTTAGTGCAGCAACAGCAGAACGTTCCTTTTCAACTCTTCGACTTCTCGAAACTTGGCTTTAGAGAAGTGCTTCCCAAACTTATGACTTTTGTGTACACTTTCTAAATTTTTCGTAACGCTGTGTAACACTAATAAAAAAATGAATGTATTTTTTACTATAAAAAAATTGCATGTAAGTTAAAAATCTCAACTGGCTGTTGACACCTTTAATTATTAACTGTTAACTCAGCAAAAAATAGCCAATAGAAAAATACGTAATCGTAAATTTTCATGACTAGCTTTGTTTTTAAATAAAATTTTTTGAAATTTTCGTTTGTTGCGCGATATTTTGCATAAGAACGCGTACCACTCTTTGGGAAACACTGACTTAGAGCAACTCAAAATCAAGAATGATTAAATGGACTAGCATTATTAAACATTCATCGAGAAATTGATTTGTATGTTGAAAAAATCATTGACAGATTTGCCAAAGTTTCTAAAAAACGCATTACTTTTATTATTTAAATATTTTGAATACTTGAATTATTTATGTACTTATTGTTCATTATGAAAAAAATAAATGAGAAGACTAGCATTAAAAACCCCAGTTTTTTTTCTTTCAAAAAAAATATTAAAAATTTTTTTTCTTCTTTTTATAAAAAAAGCTGATTGGGGGGGGAGGGGTTAGAGTCTATCACCCTCCCCCTCCCCCCGAGGAAAAATTTCTGAATCCGCCCCTGACTGCTGTATTTTTTGTTACAACTGAAATTCGTATTATGCTACAAAATGGTTTTGATTTTTACACTGTTATAAGCCCTTTCAGGTGTCAAAAAACTCCTTAACATTTTGCTTATGGCTCTTACGACAGGTGAACCAATATGACAGGTTTCATATGCTAAAAGCTTTAAGCAAAGGTTTAGTATTAAGGTCGAATGCCCTACCAAGTAAAATGACACTGTAAATAAAAACAGGATATCTGCGCAAATGGAAAATCATTTAAAGTCATGAATTTCGGTATTGAACAAAATTTGTCATGAAATGTCAAGATTTCAACTATTTTTTTAAAAAAAATCATGGAAAGTCATGGATTTAAGTCGCTGAAAAATTAAATTTTTAAAATGGAATCCCCCCCCCCATATTTCATGGTGTTCCGAATATCTGAATTTGTAACGAAATCCCCCACTCACAGTCATATTTTACTAAAATATAAAATGTTTTTAACCAGTAAAAATTATGGTGTTCTTTCAGAAATGAAAGACAATACATCACTCCTAGAGTGAATTATCTTTTAAACATCTGTGATTTCAGAATTTTTTTTATTATTTTTATTTTATCAATTTAAAATTCTAGCCGAAGCAAGCCAGTCATCGACGAATTTTTTTTATTCCGAAATGAGAACAGAAAAATCAGGAGTATTCCTTTCCGATGAAAAAGAAAAGTATTTTTAGAATATAATTTTGCAGAAAAAAAATTATTTTTTTTTTTTGCTTTTGTATTTTTCTTTTTCAGATATTTTATTGCTTCAACTCTTTCTTTGCTCTGTTTTTTTTTTTTTTTTTTTTTTTTAAAGTTTAAAATCTATAAATATGAAGATGCAGAGTATAACAGTTTTGGTTATGCCCATCATGTCAATAAATGTTATTATGATGCTTTTTTTAATTTATTGCTGTGTTTTTGTTGGAGAAAATAGTAACTTAGTTAAGTCATGAAAAATTCTTGGAATTAGTCATGGAAAGTCATGAATTTCAAAATCTAAACTGTGGCAGATACCCTGTAAAAATTATTATCTAAATAAAATACATTTCATATACAATTAAAACAATGTAAAAATAGAAAGGCTTGTTATCTAATGTGCTCAGTAAAAAAGCAAATATTGATTTATTTAGAGGTTTCTATAAATAAAATAACACTCTGGTGTCCAACTTGGTGATATATTCTAAGGGGCAATCCTCAAAATATAGTCTAGCCCACGAATTGTATAAAAATAGTGAATTGAAATGTCAAAATGTTAATATATATAAAGATTTTAACATTTTCATATATCTTTTCTTAATACTGAATCTGTACTAAGCTTTGATTTAGCAGGGTTGCGATCCACGGGAAAACCTGGAAAATACTGGAAATTTAAAAATCGCCTAAAATAACAGGGAAAATGCAGATAATTTTGTTTCTTATTTTTGTCTTTTAAAAAATGGTGACCACTCAAAGCAGGACATTTAAATATGTTCGGCCGTTCCTTTTTTTTTTCTCTTAAGTTTTTCCAGCAATTATAACTAATAAATATAGCTGACACAAGAGCACAGTAATTGTGTTTCCTCTTGATATATTGTGTATAATATATTTACAGGGAATTTTTTTTCCTTCCAGATATAAATGGCAACCCTGTTTAGATGCAACAATATTTTCCTTTGTATTATGTAACAATTTTAATACCGTTATAATCGTTCTAAAAGATACGTGTATTCAATTTTTAACGAAGGATTAGTGATGCAACCGATGTCAATCAATCGATTTTTTTTTTGGATAGATCAGCTAATACTATTTCATACTTGATTTCCTTTTTTCTTTCTCCAATTCATTGTAGTTTTTTGTTTTGTTTTGTTTTTTTGACAATTTTAATTTTTAGTATGATAACGAAGATGATTACGGTATTTATAGTAAATATTATGGTCAAGTTATAAAAATTAACAGTCTCTTATGAATTTCGATAACAATCTATTTAAAATAATTTATAAAATTTCGTATTATGCAACCTAATCTGCGAAAGTTTTTCTACTCTTTTTAAACAATTCTAAAAACAAGTAAACACAAAAATAATTCAAAAGAATAAATTAAAAAAAGCTAAAAAACTATTTAAAAATCACATGAAATAACAGAAAAAATGCAGATAATTTTTTCTTTCTTTTTTTTTCAAACTGGGAAAATACAGGAAATTTTGTTTCTTATTTTCGCCTTCCAAAAAATGGTGACCACTCAAAGCGTAATCTATGGGATATTTAACGATGATATTTCAGCTATACTAAACTATTTCATTTACTATAGCATTATTTAAGTATGTTCCTTTTTTCCTCTAAGTTTTTCCCTCAATTATAACTAGTATAGTTAGCTCAATATAGCTGACACAAGAGCACAGCTATTGTGTTTTCTCTTAATATATTGTGTATAATATATACAGGAAAAACATAGGGAATTTTTTTTCCAGATTTGAGTGGTAACCCTGATTGGTCAAATAGGCTCAATGCAATATGTTGACCAGTTATCCATTGCATCCCAGTTATCCATTTCCTGTTAAAACCGAAAAAAAAATGTGTTTTTAATTCTTGCTCTTCGTGTATAATATGTTATCTAAAGTAAAATCAGAATAGATAAAGCATTCGTATGCAACTAATTAAACAAATTTTTGTTAAGTATAGTCATTAGCAATATGCAGTGTAATCAGTTTTGTTTTCTAATTTCAATGTAATTTGATGAGAGAAAAAACTCGTCCATGGGTTCCTACGGGTCAGGGAGAACAGGGAAAAACCTGGAATTGTCAGGGAATTTTATTTTAACTCCAAAAATCAGGGAAATTGCAATTTTTTTTACAAAAACCTGGAATATTCCTATATTATACCGGGAAAATAACCAGTCTTAAAATTGTCAGTAACAGTAATCAGTTATTGATTCGAGTTAAATAATTCTAACATCCATTACAATTATTTGTTGTAAAAATTTCACATTTTAGTCAAACTGAAAAGTTTCCATCCTCTTTTTATAATACTTTTTTTTTTACACAGAAAATCTAATATTTCACATAACAAATAAAAGAATTAAAGTTTTCTGATGAAAATAGGGTCTCAATTATTATTGAAATTTACCTGGAAAATTCGAGGATTCTTTTTTCTTCTGAAATTTATTGGAAACCCTGAGTTATTTTTATTGTTACCATTACTTAAATTGTCTCTCTAAAAAATTTAGCCAGAAAAAAAACATTTTCTGAATACAACTATCCAAATGAATTTTTTTTCATACTCAATATTTGTTGTTCCAATATATAAAAACTTCATCACGCTTAAAATAGCACATTTTAATTTAAAAAATTTTGTTCGACAAATTCATTAATAATTTATTATGGAACAGTATAATGATTTTTTTTTATGAAATCGTACCTAGGGTACTACTTTAAAATGGGTCTTTTCATTTGATGATTTACTCTTTTTTTTTTCTTTCTTTCTTTCTTTATACTTTGATTGAAGTTAAAAGCAAAGCCAAAGATTGAACATTGATTCTAAGTGCTTCTCAAACTACTCAGTAAAATGTTCATGCACACACTTTTTTTTCCTCAAAGCATTATACTTTTTTAAGCAAAGAAAAATGGCTGAAATCGAAAAGCTGCTGTCATACAATTTTAAAACTGATGGTAGAGTCAGAGTTATTAAAAAGTAGAAAGATGTATCTTTTCTTTGTTCTTAAATCAAGATTCTTAAGTAGGAACATTTCGTTTTCTTCGTTTTTTGAATCAGAGTTCTGTTGTTTTTAAGTATAAAAACATGTCTAATCCTTTTTTTCAATATATATAATAATTGTTCTATAATTCTTCATTGGAAACTTGTGTCTTGTTCTTAATTCAGGGCTCTTTAAACCTAAACCTCGTTCTTGAAACAGGGTTTTTTAGTTGGACATATATGCCTCACCTTATGTCTTAAGTTAGGGTTCTTAAATATGAAAGAACTGTCTGTAAACAAAACAATATCATAATAAAATGTTAACATTGTAATATTGTTATTCAATTAATTGGAATTCCATAATGAAGGGTGGCAACCGTCCTTTTTATAGTGTAATAATTGTTCTATAATTCTTCAGTGGAAACTTGTGTCTTGTTCCTAATTCAGGGCTCTTTAATCCTTGTGTCTCTAAACCTCGTTCTTAAAATAGGGTTTTTAAGTTTGACATCTATTCCTCACCTTATTTCTTAAGTTAGGGTTCCTAAATATAAAAGAACAGTCTGTAAACAAAACAATATTATAATAAAATGTTAACATTGTAATATTGTTATCCAGTTAATTGGAATCCCATATGGAAGGGTGGCAACTGTAAAAAGAAAAAAACTTTTTTTCATATCCTTCATTCAATAAATATTTTTTCTATGATTTTCTTCTATGGTTCTCAATTTTTTCTTCTTCCAAGAATAGCTTTTACTAAAATGTATGTTCCATGTTCTGGTAGTTAAAAATTTCTGTAGTAACACTTGATTTTGCTTAAAGTCTTGATTGCAGCACATAAGAGTATTCTTTAAATAAATTTTTTGGCCATCCAGACCTGTTTAATGCACAATTATAGGCAATGAGGTGAAATATATGGTGGAATTTGGATGTCTTCACCGAAAGACTTGTCTTTAATTTCACCAACATTTTGTCGCGGCAAAGCATTTTTCCTATTTTATTTACCTTAATTTTAAGTTAGGGTTTTATACAATTATAGGCAATGCGGTGAAATATCTGGTGGAATTCGAATGCCTTCACCAGAAGACTTGTCTTTAATTTTACCTTTTCACAACAAAGCATTTTCCCAATTTTATTTACCTTAATTTCCCTAATTCTCGTCAGTTGCTCTATGAATTGGACTTCAGTTAGATTTACCTGGATTTTTGAAGTTGCTTTTTGAATTCAGCCTCAGATTACAAAATAATGTGTGGTCAATCAAACAGAGTTATGAAGTTTGAGGAGCACAAACTACATTGTTTTAAGAGAGCAAAGATGTTTATTCATTTTTCTTCTGTTCCGGTTGTTGTCTTGTTAGGGGTTGCTGATCTTCCGGGGTGGGCTGACGATCTCTGAGGTCTTTGTTTGAAAGAGACCTGCGCAGACCGGCTCGACTGGAACCCATGGCCCAGAAAAAGTATGCACAACCCAACAGAAGAAATGGTGACAGATACATATTAAGATTCTTCTCATCATCCCATCTGTTTTGGTAGAGGCATCTGATGAAATCTAAAAGGGGAAGAAAAAAAAACCCATTAAACTTTTGAAAGAAATAACATTGTACATGGAAATATAATTCCTATTTTTTTCATACAGGTGCACTTTCTCAATCTCCACTGATGAGTGTTAACTACGCTGGCAGATGCAAATGCTTTTGCAAAGTCAAGACTATTCATCCCCTTAACAATCAATGCGCACGCTCAAATAACTAATCTTGGGATCGACAGGAAGACAGCCACCACTCTCATCAGACTAAGAACAAAACATCATAAAGACATGAAAATCTCTGCAGATGGGACTAGAAAATATCAAAACTGTGGCAACTGTCTTAATGTGGAACTCACACCATATCATGTTTGTAACTGCCCTGCAGTCGCTGCAGGCCTTCACCTTTTAAACTACCCTACAGAAGAAGATTTATATTCATTTAATGCCATAGAGATAGTAAAGACTATTCAAGCACACCATGAGATATGATTCAATAGAGGATATGACACCAACCAAACTGATGAGTGCGTTTTTATCTCCCCTTCTTTTTTAAGAATTCGTTTTTTTTACTTGCTCAACCAGGTATGTGCTGTGAGTTGCTATGGGTATAGTTTGTCTAAGCTAAGAACTCCTTCAGCCGCAAAGTCTGAGGCCGTTTGGTGCTATGGTGTATTTTAGAGAGGGTAGCTTTACTCTAGAACTAACACAATAGACCGAAGAAATAGATTCACTTTCTCGCGCTGACCCGAGTCGAAGCCACTCCAAAACAGTGACCCCGCACCCCTAATTGAAATATTCATATCTCGTTACCATAGCGACCGGCACAGGTTCAGACGAATCTCTGGGGAAGCTCTTATTTTAGACAAACTATAATTAACTGAATGTAAACAATAACAAACTTCCTAAAACAGGTACTTCCGCTTATGGTATGCGTACGAGTCGATGTGCGAGTGTAATAATATTGAATGGCGTGATTTTCCAGACTTAGGCGTAATAATCAATCGGAAGTAGTAACCAGAATGACTTACGATGAATTTTAACCCCTAGCGCATTCCGTGCTGAACTTTACATGGTCAACCATCCATAACAAGTTTTTCCTCACCTCTGTTGACCATATCTGGTTTGGGAAAATGACCTATAGTGCAGCTTTGAGGAGAACTCCTCCAGACTAAAAGTCTGGGGCTGTCTGCTGCTATGGTAACAAGCGAGAGCACATTTCTAATGGGAATGCAATGGAATAAGGAAGATGTCGATTGGTTTAACTGAAGCTGACCCATGCCAAGATCACGACAAAACTATTTATCTCACATCCCTATTCGAAGTGACTGTTTCTCGTAACCATGGTACCCGCCTCGACGCGAGACTGATGTCTGGAGAAGTTCTCCTGAAAGCCGCACTATATCTTTTCATTTAGCTTAGTATTGTCATGACAAGTGCCTGTTTTTCTTTTGTGTCGAAAGGAGTAAATGTTTACAAGCGTCATTTTTAGCAGGAAATAAGAAGTTAATATTATCTAATTATTCATTTATCTTAAATATTCATAATAAATGGGAAAGAAAAGTAAGATTGATAGGGAAAATTGAGCTTTGGGAAGGGGATTATTTAATTGTAAAAAAATAATGAACTGTTCCCATGTTAAGCTTACTGGCTGCGGTCAGCAAGCGGGTGGGTGACCACTTTGATCAGCCTGCGTAGAGACCGAGGGTATGCTGTAACGGTTTTCATTAAAATGTTCTACAGTAAAGTGCTCGACTTCGCGCGCAGGTTGTCGGGCTACCAAAGGAGGGGAGCTATCCCCTTTGCAGAGGATCAAAATTGCGATGGCTTGTCTTTGGATCATCCTCAGGGATGTTTCCCAGACCATCTCCAATAGCCCATTGTGCAGTTCTAGTGCGATATACATAGAGTAACTACCATGTTTAGTTAGTGATATGTTAGTTATGTTATATACACCGAAGAGCCATTACATTATGATCACCCTCCATCAATAACAATGGGCTCGCCCAGGTTTTCATGGTTTCTCGTCCAGGAACAATGTTTTCATGGGGCACATTAGGACCCATAATCCTCATAGAACAATCACTGACGTCTGTAAGCTACTTGAACATAGTTGCAGACCAGGTTCACCCATTCATGGCAACAGTTTTTCCTGCGGGGGATGGTGTTTACCAACAGGATAATGCACCATGTCATAAGGGTCGAATCGTCATGGATTGGTTCGAGGAACATTCCAGTGACTTTCAAGTCATGTCTTGGCCCCCAAATTCACCTGACCTTAATCCAATAGAGCATTTGTGGTCCTACTTGGAAAACCAAATTCGTACTACCACGCTACCCCCTCGCAATGTGAGGGAATTGCAGGACCAGTTGGTGAGCGCTTGGTACCAGATACCTCAGACTACCTATCAGCACCATGTGGAATCAATGCCACGGCGGGTGCTAGCAGTTTTGAGGGCTAAAGGTGGTCTTACATGTTATTAGCAAGGTGGTCATAATGTAATAGCTCTTCGGTGTATATTAGATATGTTAGTTATACAAATGATATCAGCGCCTAAACAATGTAATATGAAAAGACATTGTAGAATGTTGCATGAAAAAAGGTGGAGGAGAATCCTAAAATATTTTAATCGCTGATTTAAAGAAAAAATCGAATTTTCCCATGGTCAGTCATCTGCCTGATTGCTTCAGATGCAGTTTCTCTGACGCTTGCTAAAACAAAGAAACCATTTACTGATTGCAGTTTAGTAAAAAAATGCGCTTTGAATGGCTTTTGATGAGGAAAGATTGTTTCTTTCTCAGAGGCTCTGCTATGAGAGAGCAGGTAAGAAAGTCGCGAATTAATTTAGTTCAAAAAAGCGCATATTTTTCGCTTTGAAGTATATTTACCAGGCAAGTATATTCCCACTTCTTACCTGAAACATATAGTTTGTCTAGGGTAAGAACTCCCCCCCCACCACAAAGTTTGAGGCCGTCTGCTGCTATGGAAACAAGAATAGCCCATTTCAGGAAGGGTAGCTTCTCTTCACTCTAGAGCTAATACAATAGACCGAAGTAAAAAATTCCCTTTCTCTCGCTGACCAAAACCTCTCCTAAAGAATGACCCCACACCCCTACTTGAAATAGTTATATCTCGTTACCATAGTCACCTCCACGGGTCCAGACGAATGGGTAGGGGAGTTCTTACTTTGGACAAACTATACTATGGTTTGTGGGAAGAAAAGTAAGATTTTCCGCAACCATGGTGACAGGAAGGGGAAAATTGTAGAGAGTGGGAAAATCCTAAGAGTATGGCAGGTGAAATTCTCGTTATAAGCAAACACACAGTGTTAAAATAGCAATAATTATATTTAAAAAAAAATAAGTACACATATTTACGTCTTTCATTTTAAACAATTACAATTTTGATTTAAAATAAATTAAAATGCATATATAGAGCAGAGAGTTCTGTCTAAGAATTGTAAACTGAATTATTTAGCTGTGTACTTTATGAAAGATAAATTTCTACAACACAATTTTTTAAACTACACTTTTTCTTATCACATTGACTGTATATCAGGTGAATCGTGCAATTTTATCTATGGTCTATATTGGCTGAGTAACGGCTATAAAATATCGGTACAATCGGACAATTTTAGATAGAGTCTATGTTGGCTATAAAAGAAGACATCGGTTGTGTTCTGACACTTCTATATCGAGCCAACATAGACTGAATAACGGCTATAAAATATCGGGTGAACTTAACAAATCTGTAGAGGGCCGATATTGGATAAATAAGGGCAATAAAATATCGGGTGAATTTAACATTTTTATTTTTTTATAACCGTCGTTGAACAGTCAACCAAATTTTACGAGTTTACGACCACTAATGTTCTACTCCGTAGTCCTGTCATTTTGAACCCAATCCAGAAGACAAGGGACCTAGATCGAGTATCGGGAGAAATTTGACTTTCTGATGGAACTGACCCGCATTTGCGTTACATGGAGAGGAAGACAACGAGAATCCCCCACGGTTAGCCTGATGGCAAGGGGACTCTAACCCATGATCCGTCTACCATTGAGGATATTTCACGTCAGCACTGTGGTCGGTGCAAGCCGGATGCGGAATTCGTATCGACTGGGATTCGAACCCGGTTCGCCTCATTGGAAGGCGAACACTCTATCCCCTGAGCCATCGCGGCTCTAACAAATTTTATATAGGGTAAACATCTGCTGAATAGTCGTTATAAAATATCCGGTGAATCGAACATTTCTTTATCGGTTTAATATTGGCCAAATAATGGCCCTTTAAAATCTTATTGAGCCAAGATTGGTGAATATTGGCCCGATGAGTTTCCAAGTTGTTTTGCTGCTAGGGTAGCTTGATAAAAAATAAGGTGTTATATTTGTAGGAAGTAAACAATATGTTTGTTTTTCACTTTTCTGTTCCATTGCATCACTCTTTGAAACCAATTAAATTTGTTTATTAGTAAAATCTACTCTTTTTATTTATTTGTTAATTTTTCATTGAATGTTTACAAATTCGTTGAAAGGAATTTTATGTTCAATCAGGGGTGTTTTTAAATCTGAACAGTAGCCATGCAACCAATTTTTGGATTGTCCCGTCGACCTGCCAACGCTCGCCAAATCCTTTGGCGCTAGTTTTGACAAAATAATTATTGTAAACACAATAAATTTATCAAAATCATAATAATAATCATATATATATATTATTATATCAATCATTTCCACGGCCAAAAATCATTGATAGCTTTTAAAGCGCAAACAAACAAGTCCTTGTGCTCTTCTTAGAAGAAATAATTCCTATCTCTTGAAAATATGCCTCTGCACTCTCTTCGGTGCTAAGCAAATCTCAAATTCGAATCATTTTGCAGCAGAGCGGGAAAAAAGCAGTATATAAAAAAGTACAAGACAAAAAGTACAAAAGTATAAAAGTACAAGCTAAAGAAAACTAATTCGGTTAGTCAAGGTCGCATGATGTTGATTAGATACGTCACGATTATAGGCGCAGACGCTACCTTTTGGTGATAATATCGGGTTTGGCGAAAATGGTCGGCGGAATAATCCCAAGGTGTCTCATTCCTCTTTGGGATTATCCCGTCGACCTGCCAACTCTCGCCAAATCCTTCGGGGCTAGTTTTTAGGTTTGGCGAAAATAGACGACGAGATAGTCTCAAAGTGCCCAATTTTTCACTATTTTTTTAAAACTATATTCTTAGAAGGGAAAGCTGTAAAAAGATTTTGATGCCTGGTTTAACAATTAATGATAAAACAATTTAATCATCTTGATTATTTCAAATTAATAAAAACAAAATTACACATTATAACGTTCTTAAGTAAGATGTGTGGAACTTGTTGTCTGTGACCATTTATGCAGAGGGGGTACGATTGTTCTTGTTTTCCAGAGGCGCCATCTATGGTCAAGAGTACGCCTTCTGCCACACCCGTTAATTGAACGGACACATTCATACATCCATTCATTCACAGATCGTAATTTTGATCTGAATCAGAGAACGATCCATCTCCAAGCCAGTACCCCCAGAGGTATTGATTTGTTATGGGAACATGGAGGACTTCGCGACTTGACAGATTTAACGTGCATCAGTCCCTATTTACTACACGGGGAGTCTTCGGCCAGCGGGGTTCGAACCCACGAACTTTTGGACATAGGCCCAGCGCCCTACGAACCTGGCTATCCCGGCTGTGTGGAAATTGTGAATGATAATTATATTAAAGAACCCATCGAAATAGAATAATCTCTTTCCTTGAATATTTTAGTTAAGATATAATATTTTGCCTCTAGATAACAATATGTCATTTGTTAAGGAATCACGAAATGTTTGCCTGTATAGGATTATAAAATCTTTGCTAAGTAAGTTCTAGCACTAAAATGAATAAAGTGATGTATTAATAATATTTTTTTTATATAATCATTATTTTAGGGTGAAGTTGGTTTCTTGTTTATTTATATCCACAGTTTTAAAATATATAAATTTAGAATGAATGAAATGGAACAATCGGGATTGATATGATGTTTTTAGAAAAAGAAGCAAATGCTAAAAGTTCATAAAACACTTGCAATTCCAAAAATTAATTATAATAATAATAATTAATGAACAAAAATTTCTTTGCAACCATAGATAGTAGGGGAGAGTGGGGTCAATTGTAACAGGGTACGATTGTAACAGAGCAAAAATTTCGAGTGTCTGGTTCCAGATTTGGTTCCTAGGTGGCACACAAGGTGTATTTAATAAATCTACATGTACACCCCTGATGGCAACCATTGTTATATACTTTTGAAAGAGTTACATTACAAAAGATATTTTCACGCTACGTAATTACTTTTTTTGGCATTAGAATATTATATTGCAACAAAGTAATTTTGTTTAAACAAATAAAGAATATTAACCGAATATGTAAGTGGACACCTTGATTAACATTTAAAGAAAAAAAGATTAGTTTTGTTAATTAACTAGCACTGTTTTTAACAAATGAAGCTGAAATGGCGTCTTGGGGACGATTGTAACAATAAGTAAAGGGACGATTGTAACAGCTGAAAATAAATAATCTTATGTTTACAAACCATTACTTAACTCTTTAAGAACCACC